TTATTCAAATTTCAAAATGTGACGTAACTTAAAGAATAAAAATGTAGATTTACCATATGTTATTGTTGAGTGGCTCTTAGAATGACTGAAATGTTCAACAATTACTTTTCACGGTGGGCGGTATAAGTAGCTCAGAGTTTTGACTCTGGGTGAAACCAAGAGTGTAACAGAATTAAATTAACCTTTTTAAAGTCCATGAAATAATTTAAAGTGATAGATTAGCTTCAACTTTTCCCATCACTGGGGACGGGTACTTTTGTTTGTGTTAAATAATTTAACCCTAACTGTACAACAATATTACCTAACTCATTTAATAAACCTTTTAAAGTTCCTTTAAGCCGAGTTTAAAAAAACACTTAGACCAGGAGTATGTGTATGAGAAGGTAAACATTTAGTGAAGCATTTGGGGGAAAAACAGTCATGGTATTTCTCTGACCATCTGCCATGCCATACCTCCTGTACAAAAAAAAAACATATTTATTAATTATCAAAATGTATATGCATATAAAATTCATTAAGGAAATACGTGTTTATTAAAATAACACCCAGTGGTCAGCGTACTCGAACTGCGAAACCAGTAGGCGTACTATAACTCAAGTAACCCAAGAGTTGGGGTGGGTACTGTTGACTAGCTTGGGTACTGTTGACTAGCTGCCTTTTCTTTTGTCAATTAAAGACTATGTATGCCTATTGAGTAGATTTATGCGAACATTCTAAAACAAGCAACAAAATCTATATTCACGAAACTTTAAAGAACGAAATATTTTTGTTTGTTTGTTTGTTTGGAATTAAGCACAAGGCTACAGAATGGGCTATCTGTGCTCATCCCACCACGGGTATTGAAACCCGGTTTTTAGCGTTGTAAGTCCGCAGACATGCCATTGTGCCGCTGGGGGGCTAAAAAACGAAATAAAAAAATAAATAACTAATTTGAAGCTTTATGTTCTGAAGAATTCGATTGTGTAAAACAATTTTTTTAAATATATATACACCTGGAAAAAAGTTAAGCACCCCCGTGTTTTTTCAAGTGATTCAGATTCGAC